GCTCAATGAACTGCATCGAAATATCTGCAAAATGTCTCAAAAACTTGATACTCTTCGATCTGGTAGACATTACTCACACTTCCATCCTGTTTGAGCTTAAACTTTTAGGAAACATCTAATCATACGGAATCTGTGGTAAGCTATCCCATCGAACAGCATTTTTTCAATGTAGATTTAGTTGCTACTTTTCAAGAAACCTCACTATTTGATCCTTAATCTCCTCTTATTAGTAAAATCATATTATAGCAGGAAGCCCAAGCAATGAACGCAATCAGCAAGTGAAACTGAGTCGAATGACTCAAAACACAATATAGTGCCTTCCTCAAAAATTTTTCTCGAAATAATGGTAAGGTTGCCCAAAAGTGATTTTTTTGCATTGGCAAATCCATCATCGTCATCTCCTTTAAAAGATAGATCACGATGGAATCTTACAGAATCTCTCTCGTCGATCCTTGTCAAAAATACAGATTTGGGTTTGCACAGACAGCAATTAAAGCGTGTTTGGAAACTCATCTCATTATTGTTCGACGAAACAATGTTTTTTCTATTGATTATTATGAAAGAAACTCGGAGGTATTCTGATGGTTGGTAGGTTCCTTTACTATTAAGATCATTTCTTTTAATCCAATGATCCATTCAAATTGTTTCTCGGCTAAAATCTCCTTTCAGATTAATAATGCTTCTCAAAAAAAAACCAAAGGTAAGTTCATTAAGAAGCATACGATACATCATCGACATTCAGTTGAATAAAATCTAGTCTTCTTCGTCTAACAATAAAAAGTGGATTCTTAAATAGAATAATTTCAACTCATGTCTTTATGAATTACCTTATCCTCATCACAAGTAAGTGTTCTAAAAATCATGTTCTAAGAAGTCAAAAACTTTTTTCGTTCAAAACTTGTCTGAAATCGATACGGGTGGACTTGAAATCAGATTTACTAGATTCAAGCGTCTTGTTTTTATTAAAATTTACTCAAGAATGAAAAAATCATCTTATTCTTTTTTGAGATGTTTAGAAGAAAGTTAACTAAAAATCGCCACTTCTTAACTCAAGTCTCAAATCTGTCACTACTTTTCGAAGCATGCTCTTTCTTTTATTAATGTTTTGTTTTCTTGAAGAAAATTTGTTTATACATGAATCCATATTTTGATTCATAAAATATGTGTACTACAGCGGCTATTTAGCATGATGACTCGTTGCTGTATTTACTGACACATTTGTTTATTCCCTTTTCTGAAAGAAAGGGTTATACGGCGGTTAAAAATGCTTAAAGTTTGTCTGTCCGTCTGTCCGCCTGTCTGTCCTAATCAATCAGAAAATACAGATGCGTATATCAACTAGACTAGTCTTTCACAAATCTTAAAAATCTTTACCATGGGTTTTTGGGGTCAAGGAATCGAATGGTGACATGACATTTTGAAATTTTTTTCAAATAGGTGTTTTTTACCAAAAAGAAAGGTTTTTTAGCAAAAAAATGTTTTTTTTATAAAGTTTGATCAAACGTTTTTGAAGTCGAGGAATCGATTGGTAGTATTAGTTTTGAAAATTGTTTGAAATCATTTTTTTTAGTAAGAAAAGACGTTTTTTTTTTATAAAGTTTGAATAAACGTGTTCGAGGTCGACGAATCTGAATCCCTGATTAGTTGTTGAGGCTGACATTTTTCGACAAGGAAAAATTTTTTTACGAAAAAAAGCTGTTTCCTATAAGGTCTGACCAAAGACTTCAGAGACTGAGAAATCTGTCAGGAGTTTTCGTAAAAGTTTTTGGAATGAGTTTTTGGCTGCGGAAGGTTTTCTAAAGAAAATAATGATTTTTTTTTCTTAGATTGAATGAGATAGATGATATAACATAAAATAAGTTTGCAGTTCTACATGTATGGCTGATTCTAAAGTCTGTATGTTTGTGCACCCTAGCCAATGGGAAAACGGTGTCGGCTAGATTGATATCAAAAGCTTCTGATAGTCTATAAAAAGCTCTACGAAAAGTAATCGAAGGAAAATAAATCGAATCTGAATCAAATGTGATTTTAATAACAAGTTAATAAACAATTAGGAATTAGCTTCATACTTTTCTTAATCAGTTTTATCCAAGATAATCGAAGATCGATAAGCCAAAACTCAGTTGTTTTTATCAAATAAGTAATAATCAGTAATATTAACTGTCTCCATTAAAACTCTACTAAAGAGAATCGGCTATGAAGAATGCAAATCTGAGGTCAGCTTTCCAATATTGGTAGTTATTAATTAATGATAAATTAATGTATCATTGTTTTCTATAAAACTTGGCTGATCATTATCGAGCATGAAAAATGCGAATTCGAAGTTAATCGAAACCTTTTTGGCCTTTTTTAAGCTTCCTTTAATGAATTCCTTGTTATTTTAAGCTTGATTTAAGGATAGTCGAGGGTCGCGAATCCATGCTCGAGATTGCTTTTAATATAAGTATTTTTCCTTGTTGATTACAAAACGCCAGGTCTTTGGGTAAGATTTATACATAGATATGTAGAAAACGAAGTGGTCGCTTGAAGTCCATTTATTGACTCTTCGTAGGCATCAAATGCAAAATAACATTTAAAATAGAGGGTGTGGGTGTGGGTGGGTGTGGGGTATGGGTGTGAGTGTGGATGTGGGTGCGTGAGTGTGGGTGGGTGTGGGTGTAGGTGCGGGTGTGGATATGGGTGTCGGTCTTCTTTTCATCTATACCCAAACCTCACACACTCACACCCACACCCAACCCCCAGGTTTTGCCAGATGAGAGTACTTGGGAATAGTACCATCGGATAGAGAATTTAATTCTACATCCAACACACTCATTGAGAGCGCCAACACAAGTCGTACAGCAAATCCGGACAAGTAATACACCCCAGTTAGGGTGGTGAACCCAGTATTTATGGAATAACCCCCAGTTTTTGCCCGATGACACTACTTGGAAATAGTACCATCGGATAGAGAATTTAATTCTACATCCAACACACTCAATGAGAGAGCCAACACAAGTCGTAGAGCGAATCCGGACAAGTAATACACCGCACTTAGGGTGGTAAACCCAGTATTTAAGGCATAACCCCCCCTTTTTGCCCGATGACGCTACTTGGAAATAGTACCATCGGACAGAGAATTTAATTCTGCAACCAACAGACTCAATGAGAGTGCCAACACAAGTTGTACAGCGAATTCGGACAAGAAATACATCATACTCGTTATTGTTACATAGGGAATTTATGAGTATTTTGAGGAAAAGCGTTGGTTTTTACCCGATGACCCACCTTGAAAATAGTACCATTTGATAGAGCGTAAAATTTGGCACCTAACACAAGTGCCTAGAAAGTTAACACAGGTAAGAAAGCGAATCGGGACAAGAAATAATCGAATCTGGTGCTAACTTTATTTACGTAGTAGCGACAATTTACTTCGTGACTTGCAAAGCAACGGATGAAAAACCACCTTTCTGCCGTTTATAATTGTTGCAACATGCGAATAACTTTCGAATTTATGAGAATAAATCACGGTTCTTGTCAACTTGAACAGAAAAGCAGCAAAGAAATATATCAAGAAATTGCAATGCAGCGCTGCCTCTAGAACGAGTAGAATCAGTTAGAACAATTTTAACAGAGAGAAAAAACGACTAGGAATAGGAAAAATCCCATTACCAGCACTTTTGTTTATTTTTCTCTTTATACATTGTAGCTGCAACTTAGTAATAGAGTGCATCCACTGATGAGGGAACATATTAGATCAGTGGATGTTGAAGACTATTCTGTGATAGAGAGCACTATAAAAGGTGATGCACTTGAGAGGCTATGCAGAAAATCAATAGAAGACATGTAATAAATATATACATATATATATTATCAAATAACATATGGGAGTGACCACTCAGTATGGTACCCCATTTTGATACACTCCTATT